CTCGAATAGAATGGTTGATTTGGACTCATCACCCGAAAATGACACTGCAACTAAACCACCATCTCTTTCCTTCCTCCCAATTCCAACCACAAGTTCAAAACTTATCCTCCATTTTCATTCTAGGAGAAGATCCAAATCTTCGACTTTAATATCTTGACCAATTAAACTATAATCACATGTACTAAGTAGGATTCTCGATGATTTCAGTTCGATTTCCAATAGTGAAAAACAACCTTTTTCCCAACATAATTTTGTAGGTTGAAAGTTGAAACGTGACATAATTAGTCGAAGGTAATTAATTTTTTAAAAAAATATCTAATCTCCATCTCATCCTTTTCTTTTTTTCCCTCCTTATTCTTGTTTCATAGATTAAAAATTGAAAGAAAATGGTGCTTATACTTTCTTAGAACAACTCCTTCCAGAAGGACCACCAGTCCACCACCCAACCACTCATTCTCCACAACTCTTCTATTTCTCCATTCTATGCTCTTTGTCCCCAACAAAAGGTCACCCAGCATCACAAAAATCTAAAGGATAGAAACTTTACCTTATTTGATATTTTATTGATTAAATTACAAGTTTTGTTTCTAAAAAGTTTCTAAGGGTTCATTTGCTAATATTTTCAATTTTTAATTTTCAATTTTCATTTTCAATTTTATTAAGAAATCTAAACATTTTTTTACAACTATTTATGTTTATTGCATAGGAATATTCTCATAATTTTATAGAAGTTGTTGAATCAAAAAAAACAAATTTTTTGTTTCTTGTTCCCGTTTACAATTTGATCCAACATAAATAAAATTCTTATTTTATCATTTTTGCATCTATGGATGTTGGGGTTATGCAATTCTATTTTTCTTTATTAAAAATTTGGAAACAGAAACAAGAAACCATAACATTACCAAAACGGACTCTAAATTTTCAATTTTTGAGCCAAATAATATAGTTCATATTGTTAACTTCACGAGTTTAATCCTCTTAGGATATGCTCATATATGGTCAGCTATTGTAAGTAGGTCGAAGAATTTTGTGGAATTATTAAGACCTGTTTGATAATCATTTTGTTCTTTATTATTATTTTTAAACTAGTCTTGGTAAGCCCTACTTCACCCATGTATTTTTTTTGTTTTGTTATCTATTTTTTTAAAATGTTATCAAAATCTAAACCTTTCTTTAACTAAAAAAAAGTAGTAAATTTCAAAAACTTATTTGTGTTTTCAAAATTTTGCTAAATGTATTTTTAAGAAACATAAAAATAGAATTAAGAAAATTATGAAAGAAGCAAGTATAATTTTCAAAAATTCAAAAACTAAAAGCAAAATGGCTATGAAATGAACCCTACACTAATAAATTGACCTATTAGAAGCATAACTTATAATTTAATCTAATATCAACCCAATCTTAACATAATTAAACTAGCATACTCTTGTCTAAAAGATCTTTTGTTTGGGTTATTTTGGAAAATATTAAAGGAGAATATAAACTACAAAACATTATGAGTTATATTTATATATTTAAAGTCAATTTTTAAATAACTATACATAATTTGAAGATCGATGGTGAATGAATGGTGATGGTGATGTGTTTAATTTCCATAGATGGTGATGAGGATAATGAAAATATTAATGAACACAAAACAAGGCAAGGGGGCACGTAACTACATGTCGTCCAAACCAGACTGGCAAAGGTCCAGCTCAGTGGTCCTATTTAAATGGGCTGGACCAGATAACACATGGGCTTCGCCCAATCAAATTCGGAGGCCGACTTGTCGGAACCGCAATTTCACTTCTGCCTACAATGTACCCCCCATAAATTACGGGACCTCGTGTATTTTTGCGACACGTGGCGCCTAATTCGGTCCAGTTGTCGCGTGACCTTGCCGGCGACCACGTGATCCTACTCCCCCCGTGTGCTCCATCCACCGACATCGACGGCTCTCTGACTCCGCTGTCCAAAACTTTCGCCTCCAAAGTCTGACGTGGCCGAATTTTTCATTAATCCCTTTTCCTTTCTTTTTTTAATTTTTTTACGCTTTATTAATTATTTCTTGCGACTAGTTGCGAATCGCAGTGTCTTTTTTACTTTTTTCTAATTAATTGGTTGAATGAAGGTTATCGCCTTGCATTTAATAAAGTTGCTTTGTAATTAATTTGGGGAGATTCTACTTTAATTTAATTTGGGACGTCCCTTTTTTCTGCCTGGATTATGGGTCATTAATACGAGTTTTGAATGTCTAAATAAATTGCTTTTTTTTCTTTGCAATAAAGAAAAGTTAAATCCCCAAATTGAATTATAGGACTTGAACTCCGTTTCAATTTTATATTTATGATTCGAGTTTAGATGGATGTCAATGTGTTGTTTATTATTTGGTCAATTCTTACCACTCATCTCTATTATTACAAGTTATTATCGTACTGAATAAGTGACATATTTTCGACATTGAGAGATTAAACTAAGTTCATATGGGCTAAAATTATAAATAAATAAAAAAAGGCAAAAAGATTTATATGAAACTTAATTTTTTCAAATTAAATATTCAAAATTTATGTTATATTTAGTTTTTAAATATTTATCATACCTTTTATAAATCAACATGATAAAAGGTGTTTGAACAAATTTGAAAATAGAAACAAGAAATTTGATCGTGTTGTTTCGACAATTTTCTACATTTTTTTTCGTTTCTTAAAAACGGGAACATGAATAGTTACAAAAATATTTATGTTTATCAAGAAGATTAGATATAAGAAATAAGAAATGAAAAGGGTTTCTAACCAATCCTTAACAATCCATCGAGAAGAGYGAAAAATATAAGAGAATAAATACAAAACTTTATCCTTAATTGAGAAATGAGGTTTACCAAATTGAGTATAGCATAGTAGGAGCAAACAGAACCGTAGGAAACATCTAAATTTGCCATTTTTTATACTTAAAAAGAAAGACAACATCTTAATCACATTTTAATGTCCTGTGTGGCATAGACAAGAGAACATCTCTCCTTAATGCCCTGTCCCACTTCCCTCTAAATAGTATCTCATAATGGAGCAGGAATAAGGAAACATTTGTTAATCATAACCACGCATACTGTCTCCATTAAATATTACATTATGCTGTCCTAAGAATATTAATATTATGCCACGTGCAATAATACAAATTTTGCCAAAAATCAAAACTAAATATATAAAGAAACTATTAATAAATTAGTAATTCTAGGATTGAATTGTTCATTTTATATATAAATACGACATTGCAACAGTGTGAAGTTTTATTTTATATTTTATTTTTTTAAATTAAGTTGGTAGGCACCACTTTCACTCACGTATTTTTTTACTTTGTTATTCAACTTTTTAAAATATTTTCTGAAATTTAAGCTAAAATTTTAAAAATAAAACACTTATTTTATTGCTAAAAGTTACAATGTATTTTTAAGAAATATAAAAATATACTTTAAAAAAAATTATGAGTGAATAAACATATTTCAAAAAGTAATAAAAAGTTAGAATAGTCGTTGAATAGTTGCTGAAGTAGATTTAGATAGTCAATTAAAAGAAGAATCAACATTCCAATGAATATTTTTTTCCATAAAATAGAAGAATGATAGTCAATCTTTATAATCCTAATTAATTTTCCTCTTTGAAAAAAAAAAATCCTAATTAATTTTCGTACAAAGTACCCTCTGGAAACCAAAATCGAGAACAATACAAGGAACATGAATAAAAAAAAAAGAATCAATGATAAATATCGCCTCAAAAAAACCAAAGAAACTTAACTAATGATATAAAAATTATAATACACGTATTCTTTTTATTACTATTTTTTTCTTTTGTCAAATAGGTTTTTAATTGGGGATGGGCCCACCCGATTAGTCGTGTTTTGACTACCTCCGTACCCGCCCCGAAGGCCTAGGACGTGGAGAATTAAAATTCGTCCAGCGCCATCAAAGCGCATCCCTCACGCGCAGTCAGGGAGCGTGTCTACAATGTCTTCCTAAATACAAAAGCAACATCTTTTTTCAGGGTTTTTTTTTTAATAAATAGCTATACTCATTTTGGTTTATGGATTTTTTAAATAATATTTTTTTAAAAAGAAAATGATACAAATAATGTAGTTTTGAAAGTGTTTTAAGATAAATCGCGAGTAATGCATGTAATTCCAGACGAAATTGCGGTTATTGGCCACGATTTTGTGAAAGTCGCAACCATTGACCGCAACTTTGGTATGACGTGGCTTTAAGAAAGCCACGTGTTAGGATAGAAATCGTGTACATTGTGTTCGGTTTGAAAATTGACCAAGTTCGGAATCTGTGCAGATCGGAGTGATAAGGACGATCTTCTTCACTTTTAAGCAGAACCTGCAAAATAAGGTTAGCACTCTAACGAGCAAGTTAGTCACAATCCGATCCAAGTCTTAAACATAAATGGATTTGTATACCTTGCATAAAGGTCAGACATCCCTATTTATAGGGATAATTTCCGACAGGACTCCCGATAGCGGAATAACGGTAATCCGACCACCCTTGCAACATGATGTACTGTCAGAGTGACATGTTTGCACCCAGTGGATATCTTTAGACAGGTCGACTCGTACCCCCGTTAGGTCGGGCGAATTAGATGTCTAATCGATTAGCTCGGAGAAGCTACTTCGAGAACTTAATAATCCCAATTGTTCAAGTAGAAAAATCCTGAAATTGTCGACACGTGTAGCAAATAGTCTCCACCACATTGGTTGTGATTGTTAGCTTAGTCATTAAACTTAACCTGGTTATGCATTACTTATTTCTCCCCCTTTAAAAAGTATAAGATGTTTAAGATGTCTAAGCAAATAAAAATTTCGAGAAAAATTGTGTTTAAGGAACAGATTACAAAGTGTGACATAGGAGGCTATAATTAAGGGTGGTGATTATAGTGGAATAAAGTCCAAATGAAATGAACACGTGGGATTGAAAGTTAAAAGGAAGGTGCGAAGAAGAGTGAAGGTTGCGAGTGGGAGTGGGAGTGAAGGGGAAGTGTTGGAGGTTCAGAAAACAATGCGGTGAAAAAAAGGAACAGCAGGGCAACTGGGTCGGCCAAAGCCAGAGCATTGATACGGACATCTTAGACGTCTTTCGCCTCTGCCTCCAACACTTTGTCCCACCGCTCTCCGATTCTTGTCCCACACCCGCACGCACATCCCCCTTTACTATTAAACCTAAACCCCCTCCATACCATCAAACCCACATCTCTTCAATCCCATCTCCATACCCTTCTTTGTTCTTTTGCTGTTCCCATTCCCATTTTACCTTACCTTCATGGCTATGGAGCTTCAGCTCGGCCTTGCTCTAATTCCCACCAAAGGCTTTGATTTAAACACCCACGTCCACGAAACTGCGCCTTCTTTCGAGTACTTGGACCCCGTGTGCGCCAAAAAGCGCGCTCTCGATTTCGACCCCTGCTCGGCATTTCGTCGAACACTTCCTCTGCTTCTCTGGAACCACCATCCAAATGACGGCGATGACGACCCGAAAGACATCCATCGCTCCTCCGCCTTCCGGCCCAATCGACGGTACCTAATTCTCTTTCTCTCTGAGGTTTCAATTTGGTCGATGCCGGGTCTGAATTTTTTGATTGGTTTGACAGAGATGCGGAGGAGGGGAATGGGCTGGTGGGGTGGCCGCCGCTTAAGAAACGGAGGAAGAGGCTTTTCATGGAGAAACGCGGACATGGACGTGGACGTGGACGTGGACGTGGACCGGCGGCGGAGAACCGCCGGCCGGTGGAGAATGGCGGCGGGTTTTACCGGGGGTCGAATTCTTCCACTTCCAATTCGCGGTACGTGAAGGTGAAGATGGAGGGAGTGGGAATTGCGAGGAAGGTTGACTTAAGCCTCCACCATTCTTTCGCGGCGCTCACAGCCACCCTAATGAACATGTTTGGTGAGTTTTAAAACTGCACCAGGCACGGGCTAAGATTACGTTCTTATCCAGAGTAGGAATAGTGAAAATATGAGCTTATACTGGTTTTGCGTATACAGATGAGACGGATTCCGCCGACGCTTACAGACTGACTTACCAGGACATTGACGGTGACTGGTTACTTGCTCAGGACGTAACTTGGAGGTATTCATGTCATTTTAATTTATTTGTAAAATTTAAAACTTGTGAACAAATCCACAGAAGTAAATAACAGAATTTGGCCTGAAAATTCTACGGGGTTTTGCTTTTCTTGACAGGAATTTCGTTGGAACTGTGCAACGAATCCAATTGGAGAAGAAGTAGGGCTGATTGGAGCCGGTTGCCGGTGGTCGGAGAATTAATATGCTATCTAATTAAATAGATTCTATCTTTTTTTTTCCTTTTTCTTTTTTAGCTCTTCGACTTGTAAGGACTGTTAACTGTATGTATGGTATATGGAGAAAACTTTAGCTATGGATCAGTTTTTTTACCTTTTTGACCTAATTTGTTTTTTTTTTTGGGGATAAAAATTAAAAGAATGTTACTAAATTTATATATGATATGATTGATTTAAGACCGAAGAAATAAGGTACCTTTTTTTATTATTATTTTTAGTACAACAAGAAGTACAATGATTTGGATGCAAGGTAAATAATATTTTTATCTCAATCCATTCTTCAATTTTTACCTCAATCCATTCTTCTTTGTTTTAAACAATGGATGGTTAAGAAATTGATGTAGTTTGAGATTTAGTATTTGAGTCACTCTTATTGTTGATTTCTGTGCAATTAATGGGATATATAATAATTTGTTCGAACAACTTTAAATGATTGAGTTTGAGGATCCTCGTCCATTCTAGCCTAAGTCTAGTCTAACATGATGGTTAAGCCGTGAATTATTTTACTTAAAGTTGAAGGTTTAATTCCAACTTTCTCCTACCTCCTACCTCATACGTTGAATTAAAGAATGTTTCTCCAACTTCACCATTTTTATATTAAAAAATTTGTTGGAGATGATGGATCTCAATTTCAACGATGATTTATTTAATAATTTTGTATATATATGTATATAGCAGAAAATTTACTTTTGGATATAGGAGGACTCGAACTTAGATTCTAGCATGTTTATTGATTTTAATCAAATGATGTTAAAGATTTAGAAAATAAAAATACAAACACAAACTAGATTTTCGCCCTAAAACAAAAATACTTGCCAGTGGTTTAATCACTGATTGTTTGCAGAGATAAAAAGGAAAAGTTTAAATTATAATATTATCCTCTAAACCAACTCACCAACTCATTAATTCTAGACCTAAAGTTTTAGCTACGTTTTTTTTCATTTTATAATTGTGAACGTTATATATATATATATATATATATATATATATCAAAAGATACACAACCACATACACATAACACATTAAATAAAAGCAATATAAGAGTTAAATATTAATGTGTGTTCAAGTTGGGATATTAGATTTATTTTTAAAAAACAATTTGAATGTCGTAAATCATGTATACTCTAAAATCATATCATTTATACTCTAAAGTCATACTTTTAGAATACCTTAAAATAATTTTATTTTAAAATTAGTAAAGTAAAGTAAACTATACTGAAAAATAAAATAAAATAAAAGCTCATTTGGTAACATTCTGTTTCTTATTCCTGTTTCCCTTTTTTGAGAAACATATATGTTTAGTAATCCATACCGTTTCTCATTTCTAAAATTTGAGAAATGTTTCTAAAAAAAGGCTAAATTTTGAAAACTACATAATATAGTTTCATTTTAGCTGTTTCTATTTTTTGAATTTTTAATAAATATAAGCAATTACAAATTAATGAATGAAATGGTTTCTCAAGTTGGATGATGCAAGCACGACTCTTTCATCCTTCTAGATCTGAGTTCAAGTTCTGAGTTCAAGTCACGTAATACAAGAAACATGAATAACGTTATTAAACAGATCTAAATTGATATTCTCCGTAAAACATTGACCTATTATCTAAGGAAAAAAAAAGATAATAATACATTGAGACCTTTAAAATACTTTTTGTTTGTTCTTTTTCGAGTTACAAAACCAGCCACGAACTCATGCTACAGAAATTGGGCCCTGAGATTAAGAGTTGGGCCACTTGTCCCATGTCGCTCATGCACGGAAGTTATCTCAAATTAGCGATGATATTTCACAGATTTTTTTCCCTTTTTTTTTAATATAACTTTTTTCTTTTTGATGATATTTTTTTTTAATATAGCTTAAGTGTGTTTTATGTTGTATTTGAATAAGTTACATTTAATATCCATTCAAAATTTTCTGAATATTACGAACGTTCACAAAATTTTCCCAAATTCAAACGTTATCTCACTATTGTGGATGACAGCTATTTAAAAATTTTCCAATTTCATTCAGATTCAAACGTTTTTCCTAAAATTGTGGATGCGGCGGCCTTTTTTACCTTTTCGGCTAGGTAGCTTTCTTGAGATTGCTCGCTGGCGGTGGCTGCTCATCCTCTCAATCTTCTGACCGCGTGGTCAAAGACTTGGTTGGATGCGGGATCTACTCCACGAGGAGCGATACGAACCTAGATGATGAGGACGGGTTATTCACATTTCATTTGATGGTCAGAGGTAAATTGAAAGCTAAGCAGTGGTAATTCTTAGGATCCCGAGGGGAAAAGTAGGAGAATATTCATAGACTGGCTTCCACCAATCGAAGTTTCCCTTATTTCACTTATGCTTTAGGGACAACCTGCCCTTCCACTCAGCACCGTTGGATCACTAAGGCCGACTGACGACTTTTACGACTTCTTTTTGTCTTTTTCGACAGTTAATTAATTTTTCCGACATATTAATTAGGTTATATATAATATATTGTATATTATTATATAATATATATCTCGTTAAAAGTCACGTAGACATTACTTCTTTTCAAAGAATAATTCTTTTTTTCCAACTAACATAGTATAATATAAACCTTTTAACATAATATAATACTCGTCCAACTCTTTTTGTTGCTATAGACATTGAAGTATATGCTACATATACAAAAAAAATATACTCCATATTGACTCCATACATTAGCATATATGCCTAATACATAGTCCATAATATACCAAACATATACTCCATATGATTTAGGGGTTGTTCATCGTTGATGGTACTAAAGAAATTAAATAAAAAGGGTAAAGATTGTTGGGTTTGTGTCTAATTGTGTTTTGGTGGTATATGTCTAATTCTCTTACTGATGCAATCATTCTAGATAGTGTTGCCTCACTCTTTAGAGTGCTCTTAGGATTTTGAAGATTTCTACGTCGAAAGTATCTTCTAATGACATTTTTGTTATCCAATAAAAACAAATCAATGCAAACAACTATATACAATTAACTACATTTAATTTAGATAAGATATAAGCTTGAAGGGATTGTATAATATAATATCTTTAACTTATTTTAAATTGAAATATATCGTCTAATTTTCATGTATTTTATTTTTTTAATAGGCACCTAATGTAAACTAAATTGATATAAAAAAGTTATATTAAATTAATAAAAAGAACAAACTTGTTATATTCATTTAAATGAGATTAAATTATACTTTTTAAAAAAGTTTTTAACATATAAATTACAAGATGATTGGTAAGGATATCGTTGGAACAATACTTAATTTTAACGCATTTTTATATAAAAATCCTTCAAAACGAGTCTATCAATTTAAATATTCTCAAACATCTTTATAAATATTCATGTCAAACAAATATAACAATTATATTTAAAGAGGTTAGACATCTATAATTTCACATATCTAATATTTTAAGTATTTGAAGATGAGAGCTATCTAGATTGTCTAAAAACTAACCATTCCTTAGAGAAATACGTGAGCAATTCTATTTAGTCATTCTCCTCAACAAAATATGCATATTTACTCGATAAAAACGTTACTTTAGCAAAAAGGTGTGCCACTTGATTTTTTTACTTTTATTTTCTTAATAAAACTAAAGAGAGATAATCTTCTAAAGATAATAGTTTTCAAGTCAAAAATTACCATCTCAAGCTCTAATTATCTCTAAACTAACCAAGATTTTAGCAAGAAGGGTTGATCTTAAAATGTCCACAATGTAAGTAAACATTAAAATGGAGTAATAATAAATTGACCTGACATCATGTTTAGTACAAATTAGCAGAAATTTAGAGGATGAAAAAGTTCATAAAAAATTCGAAATTTCTACCCATTGTTTAGAAATTCAGAGGAAGAATATTTTTAAAAAATAAATTAAGAGGATTAAATGACATTTTCCAACATCTAAATATTATACCGCATAAGTTTATCACTACCTTATTTTAACTTTTACCAAAGACTAGAGAGACTAAATTCGAAATTCTACCCCCAAAAAATGAGAGATTGAATTAAAAAATATTATAACATAAAGAGACTAAATTGAAAAAAATGTAATTTTGTTAAATTATTGATATAAAAATAAGAAAGCAATGTGGAGGACTAAATTTTGCATTGCTATTTAGAGTGGAGGAGTAGAAAATTTAGGAATTGAAACATTAAAATAGGATTTGAAGCTAAATTATAGGGAGCTGATATGGGCGCAGGAGCAGGTGGAGTCAACGCTCGGAGGTGATTACCTTGCGGAGGGAGGAGTGGAGGACCCATGTTACATTAGATTCAATTTCTTTCAGATTTTACAATTTACGGCCACCCCCATAAATTTCTGCTCCTAAATATCCCAATCCCGCCACTCTCCATCTTCTATCTCCCAATTCTTCTTCTCCGAATCCCTTCCAAACCAAAGGACTCTTCAGATCATCGCACACAACCCAGAATTCCTGTTCCCCCTCCCATTTCCGCCACTGGGGGGGAACGTATCCACGCCCAATTGCGCCAATTCTGCAACTCCATCCAGGTAATTTCATCGTTTAATAGCCTCATTGTTGCTCATTTTCACTGGGGCTCCTCTTTTTTGGTGCCGTAATCGTCTGCTGTTCTTTATCTCCATTGTTCTGTATTCGGATGTTGTTTATTATGGTGGTCGGGAATGCTGTGGCCCTGTTTCCGTTTTATTCATATTGGGGTTGGGTTGAATTTGATTGACAATTACTGGGTCTGTTCTGTTGTTAACCGTAGTCGGTTCCACGCGGTTAATTGACTTTGTTTCACGAAAAGAAGGGCAAAATCCCTGCTCTAGGTATTTGTATTTTCCTTCGTGCTCATGATCTCAGCTGGACCACAAATACTATCTTACGATGGGGGAAGCTTAGATAAGGAGGGTTTTGAATTTCTTGAGAAGTTTGGATTAACTTCTTTATTTTGAATCTTCAATTGGACTATTAGGGTCGTCCCTTCGGGGACATCCGATAAAATTGGACTATCAGGGTCTAGTGTAGCTGAGGTTTGAAGATTTTTGTAGGAGCGAAAAATGTTTAAGTTAGAATGATAATGGCAACACGATTCAGTTTCGGGTGGTATCTATAAAAGGGTCTATTGATCTGAAATCCAGATTGTTGATGTTTGGATAAGTGGGGGGAATATCTTATATTCTTTTTTCATTTCGTTTTGACCTTTAAGACCATGTTTAAACTTTTTGTCTAACTGGCTGGATAATGGATTCTAAAATCAAGGTTTAAATTGCTTTTAGTTAGTTCGAAAGTCGTTATCGTGACGAAAGATTGGCCTGATCTTGACTCATGTATTATGTAGTTTTTTTTTTCTTTCAATCCTTTCCTTCTGTCTGCTTATTTTGTTTACTGATTTTTGACAATGAAATCCATTCGCTACTGTTGCTTGATTTAACGTTTGACCTCCCAAAGAAAAGGATTTCTTTGATACCATGTTCTTCTAAAAGGTGGCAAAACGAATCAGCATAAGATTCCTTTTAATGAAAGCTTTGTTTTCCATACAAAAGTTATAACAACAATAATAATGACTTGTTTCTTAAGAAGGTCGGCTAGTTCTGGATTTCATGATGATTTGGTATCTATAAGATTCTACTGCTTGCATCCTTTTTTTTCTAAATTTTTTATCCTGGATTTTTCCTCACCCTAGCTAAGTTTGTTTGCTACAGTCCTATAAAGGCCTTGCCTGGATTTTGAGTGCGAAAGTGACTTACTGATAACCAAATACTACTGAAATCGAAAATGGAATTGAACTACCATTTATTAGGCATTTCCCAATTTGAGCTGATATGTGACAAGACATATAAATGCTGTTTCATCGACCAAAATTAATCSTTTTTCTTCTGCTGTATAATATGGTGGCCAATTTTCTCAGGTAACCAACAGCAGTGAAACCATGACTGCTCTGTCATCTGTACCTATGACAATATGTTGGTGACTTCCTTTCCCTAGTATTCTCCCGTAAAAGATGGCTACAAGATCTCATCGGCTCAGTTCTAGACGAATACGTCTTAAATATCTTATTTTTATACTTCTTATGCTTGTTCCGCTCAGTGTTATTTTTATTTTCAATTATGGGCAAAAGATTTCTTATTTCCTCCGCCCCCTTTGGGACAATCCTCCACACCCTTTTGTACGCCTACCACACTATTATGCAGAAAATGTGTCTATGGAACACCTCTGTCACCTCCATGGCTGGTCTTTGCGGTCCAAACCTCGTCGTGTTTTTGATGCCATTATCTTCAGCAATGAGCTGGATTTGCTTGAAATCAGATGGCGGGAGCTTTACCCACATATCTGGAAGTTTGTAATCCTGGAGTCACATACCACTTTTACAGGCAAACCCAAGCCATTACTATTTGCAGCAAATCGAGCTAGGTTTGCCTTTGCAGAGAATAAGACAGTCCATGATGTGTTTTCTGGACATATTGCATCTCATGGATCACACAGAAACCCATTTGACCTTGAATCCATGCAACGTTTAGCTATGAATGGATTACTTCAACGTGCGGGGATTTCAAATGGTGATCTTTTGATCATGTCGGATACCGATGAGATACCGAGCCCACACACTGTGAAACTGCTGCAATGGTGTAATGGGGTGCCTCCTGTAGTCCATCTGGAAATGAGGAACTACATGTATTCGTTCGAGTTCCCTGTGGACTACAGCAGCTGGCGAGCCACGATTCACATATATGGTCCACAAAGTCATTACAGGCATTCTCGCCAAACCGATCTTATATTCTCTGATTCTGGATGGCATTGTAGCTTTTGTTTTAGGAATATTCAAGACTTTGTATTCAAGATGACAGCTTATAGTCATGCAGACCGTGTAAGGCGGCAAGATTTCCTGAATTATTCAAGGATACAGAAGCTCATTTGTCAGGGAGACGATCTCTTTGATATGCTTCCTGAAGAGTACACCTTCCAGGAGTTGATCAAGAAGATGGGATCAATACCACGTTCCTCATCTGCAGTTCATCTTCCTGCATACTTGATAGAGAATGCAGACGAGTTTAGATTCCTGCTTCCTGGAGGCTGTGTAAGGAGCTCAGAAAACAGCATCCCAGGGTTGAATAAGCATCCGTAGAATCGATGCCTTGCTCGATAGTTAGCTTATTTTTCGTTTAAATTCCGCTTCTGCAGGAGGATGTGAATATCTAGCTAGAACAGCAGCACAGGCTCTCTATTTTTAGTTTACTCGCAATGCTACCTGAAAATGGGAGTAGACTGATAATTCATAGTTGGTGTTTTTGTTTATACACAAGTTGTTGCTAACAGGAAAGTCTAAACTGTAACTCAGAGAGAGTGGTATTATTGTTTTATTCTACTGATTTTTGCATGAGTTTGGGAGAGATAGTGATTGAAATGTTGTTCTGTAATCGCCTCTATCTCTTCCCTTCATTGTTTATCAAAAGTTGATATTAATTCCATTAAAATGCTACGTCCTTTTTCATAAGGGATTTTTTTTTTTTTTTTTTTTTTTTGTGTGTGGGGTGTGAATGATTCAAATTGTTACTAACATATTAGAATAGTTGATGAATGAATCCGTATTTGGTGATAAAGATTTAAAAGCTAAATTTTATTTCTCTTTTCCACTCAAAGTGTTTAAACATATAATTATTTTTCTTGAAACTACAAGTATTTGTCAAGCAAATTATCATAAAATTTAAAAGTCTAAATCTTATTATGTTTATGACTTCATTCTCTCTCTTTTTATTTATAAGTTTTATTTTTGTGCGCATAATAATTTAAAACTTTTCTCGGAGTGAGTTATCGATTTTCTTATATTTTAATATATTAAAAAGCAAAAAATGTTATCATTATTCAATGATTTTTATAGTACTACTAACATGTTACTAATTGTACAATGTTTAGGTTATTACTACTGGAATGAATTTTAATGACTTACCTAGGTGTCATCAGTATGGTTTATATTTTTTATCTTAAAATTTTAAATGTTTATTTTTAGTTTTTGAAAAACATACATATTTAGTAATTGCTATTTATTTCTCATTTTTTAACAATATTTCTAAAATTTGATTCAAATTTTAAAAACAACAAAATATGGTATTTTGTCTCTGGTTCCTTTTCAAGTTTTTTTGAAAAATAAATAAAACCATTAATTTATCAACTTTTACATTAAAATGCACAATAAATATTTTAAGAAAAATGTAACACAATCATCTTTATTTATTTAAGAAACAATTCTCATGTAAAGTATTGATTTTTGTAGTTTAAAATTTGAGAGATAAAAAAATTATTATTAAACATGGAAAGAATGACAAAAGATGACCCTCACATTGCAAGAGAAGATGATGGAAAGAGGGCAAGGTAAAAAAACCTTGAACCGTAACCTCATACTGCAGCATAACCTCTAAATGGTCAAGGTCATGTCGTGGTATTATAATGAGATAATTTATGTAAATTGTCATCCTAGGATGATGGAATATACGCCCTTRGAGTGTAAATAAAAATCATCTTTATATTAAAGTACGTGTGTAATTGATAACTCATCTTGAAGACACTTCGAATAATAATTACTTAGAGCATTTGCTTTTTCACATCTTCATCTCAAAAAGTCACCAAACTACATTTAAGRACATTCCATTTTCACGAAACAATAATGGTTTTTTTTCTAATAAAAGAAAAAGAAGAAAAAAACCAAAAATAATTATCAAGGTTTATTATAATTTTTATTTCTCGAAAAGGATGAAACATRGACAAGAAATATGACCCAAAAAAAAAGGACGATAATAGATGGATCTGATTCTTATTTGTTTCTATTTAATTTAGGTAGAATTTAAATAAAAAAAAATGAACGAGAAGAAACGATATTCATCATAGATATTAAATACGACTTTCCTGTGGGGTGAAAATAGAAAAGAAACTTCCAAACGTGGGTGTACATAGAGATACGAAGAGAAAATAGCTCTGAATCTTCGCGTGCAAGTAAGATATTCGGCCACGTGGCATCATCTCGAGAACGTACAATTCAACACGAAGTCGTTTTCCTATTATAATTTTATTTATTAGCGAAAAAAATCAAATAACGCTTTTGATTCTCAGTTTTGGCATCTGCTCTGCTGCGTCGTCTCCTCTTCTTCTTCATCGCCATGGCTGGATTACTGTTCTACTACAACTGACCAATACATTTTCAGGTGAATTACTAATTTCTATTCAGTTCTCAGCTTTCCATTTCATGATTCATCGACTTTTATTTACTCGTTCCAATTCTTAATTCTGTCTGAAAAAAGGAAAATCAGTGAGGCGGTAGTGAAAAATTTTGTCTATTCTCTTGGCAATGGCTCAAAGCACGATCAGGAAAGCGATCGGAGCCGTGAAGGACCAAACGAGCATTAGCATCGCCAAAGTCGCCGGCAATACGGCGCCGGAGCTCGAAGTCTTGGTGGTCAAGGCGACGAGCCATGACGAGGACCCCGACGATGACAGGTATATTATCGAGATTGTGAATTTGTGCTCGCATTCGAATGGATATGTGAGTGCGTGTGTGGTTACGATCTCTAAACGATTGAACAAAACTCGCGATTGGATCGTCGCGCTCAAGGCGCTAATGGTGGTGCATAGGGTTTTGATTGATGGACATCCCTCCTTTGGCGAGGAGATAGTGTATGCTACACGGAGAGGTATGAGAGTCTTGAATTTATCTGGTTTTAGAGACGAGGCACATTCGAATTCATGGGATCATTCTGGTTTTGTGAGGTCTTACGCTTTGTATCTCGATGGAATGATTGAGCATCTGGTTCTTGAGAAGAAAGTGAGGGGGAGTATTAGTGACGGTAACTCTGATGAATCTGATTATGGGAGGCAGAGGAGGAGGCAGAGCCCATGGAGGTCAATGCGACCAGAGAGAGTATTGGATGAGTTTGATCAATTGCTTCGAATGCTTGATCGAGTTTTAGCTTGTAGGCCGATGGGGATGGCCAAAAGTAGTAGATTAGTAATTGCTGCGGTTCATTTGGCTGTTAAAGAGAGCTTTGGGCTGTATATTGAGATTTGTGAGGCATTGGGGGTTTTGTTGGATCACTTTAAAGAAATGGAATATGGTGATTGTCTTAGGGCCTTTGATGTTTACGTCAATGCCGCAAAGAAGATCGATCAACTCTTGGAATTTTATGCTTGGTGTAAGGATATGGGGATTGCAAGATCTTCTGAATACCCAGAGGTTCAGAGGATAACTCATAACCTTTTGGGCACACTTGGGGACTTTCTGAAGGAGATGGGAAGAAGGCCAAAGGATTTCAATGAGAGGAGAAGGGAGGAGAAGCTAAAGCTGCCGCCAGCTGACGATCCCGAACAAGACATGAATGAGATGAAGGCTCTTCCTCCGCCCAAGAATCATGATCCTTCCTTGCATTCAGTCCTTCCGCAGACTCGACTGCCAAAGGAAGACTTGGTGAACCTGAGAGAGGATGAAGTTTCAGCGGATGAGCAGGGCAACAAATTGGCTTTGGCTCTTTTTTCTGGACCCCCAATTACAAATCCTGATGGTTCGTGGGAAACTTTCTCATCAAACCAGGATCCTGAAGTGAGTTCAGCGTGGAAGACGCCTGCTGCAGAGGCTGGCAAAGCGGATTGGGAACTGGCATTGGTTGAAACTGCCAGCAATCTGTCAAAGCAGAAGGCTGATATGGGAGGTGGTTTTGATCCACTCTTATTAAATGCAATGTACGACCAGGGGACGATCAGGCGACATGTAAATGCCGAGCAGTTCGGCGGGAGTTCAAGTAGTGTGGCATTGCAAGTCCAAGGCAAGACCRTTGCTGCACAAGTGCTAGCGCTTCCAGCACCCGACGGGACGGTTACACCGGTTGGGCACCGGGACCCTTTCGCTGCGTCGCTTACGGTGCCACCTCCTTCATATGTGCAAATAGCTGAAATGGAGAAGAAGCAGCAGTTGCTGGTGCAGGAGCAGCTTGTATGGCAGCAGTATGGCAGAGAAGGAATGCACGGGCAAGTGGGTTTGGCAAAAATTGGTGGTGGGTCGGCCCATGTTAATGTTGCAATTATGCCTCATGCCTCAGCTTACTATTATGCTCCCTTCTGAATAGGCTTTCATTTTGAGACGATCGTCCCATGGTTTTGGTTCCTACAAACACAAATGACAGAGAAGCCAAACCAAACTTCTTGTATATATTTTGGCAGGTTGTCATTTTGTTTAATTTCCCTATATTTTTTTTGCTTGCATCAATGCCTTTCTGTTTTCGGTTTTTAAGAAATATACACTTCCAATAACAGTTTTCGGTTTCTTTTGTTTATAATTTTCAAGGAATAATATTTAAGTGCTGATCGACCGCATTCTCGATCTTCTTTTTTACTTTGTACTCTGATGTTTCATGTTCTTATTTTTTATTAAAAATAATTATCTTATTTCTAAGACAATTATTTTTTAGAATTGAAATATAATAATTTTGACTATTTTATTAAAAAAAAATCGTGTAAATTTTACTCTTTTTTCTGATTTAAGATTTAAAAATAGTTCAATTTCATCGTTTTTCTTAATGATAAATAATAAACAAAGAACAAAATACAAAATAAGTTTTCATTTTTGTTTCTTTTTTAGTACAACATGGGAGTGAAGATCAAACTTTTTTCTTTTTAATGCAACATGGGAGTGAAAGATCAAACTCACAACCAGCTATGCTCGTTTTGGCTATTTCTTCTTTCTTAAGAAGTCGGAAATAAAAATATGAAAATGAGAAATGAGAAAAGATGTGGAAATGTTATCAAATGGTGCAAAATAAATGATAATATATATACAAATGGTTTATTTTTATGCATCTTTTCCGTTTCCTTCTTTTGCTTTATTAAGCTGTAGTTTGATTCAAATCAGCAGTTTTTTTTTTCAGGTAATTCTTTAAACAAATTTTAAGGAGAGAGAATATATATATATATATATATATATATATATATATATATATATATTGTTATTAATAAAGTATGAATAAAAAAATTACGAAATCAAAGGTAGGAAGGAATAATAGAAGTAGAAAACACGTTTCCAAGATATTATATTATATATATAGTCTTTTGGAATTTAACCAAGACTTAAATAAGAAAAGTAAAAAAAATATAAATATATTATCAAATAGATAATGGAAATAGCCATCAAACAAGTCTTTAATAATTTTCAAATTAAAATATTCGTGATCAAATGAAAAATTCATCTTGATTTTTAATAATGGTAACCTAATAAAATGGCCATTGATAATTTATAACAGGTAACGAAAATATTTGTCAATAAGTGGTTTGACTTTGCAATCCACGTTTATATAAATTTCTTGCTTTCTTATTCATTGGTAGAGACTTCCAAACACATTTTGAATAAATCGATCCCTCTTTTTCCATTTTCGTGCACAATTTCTTTTATCAAATCGTCATAGGTTTATAATCTAATCTTTCTTTGAAAATTAATTTATTTTAAAAAAAAATCAAAACATTAGAAACAATTAAAAAAAAAAGCAGCACACTGTTTTCCTCTTTGAAAGAATTTTAACCTTAAGATACTATTATGCAATTAGATTCGACTTCTTCAACAAAGTTCTTTCAAATGCTGTTTTGGGAGTTGTTGAAAGTGATTAAATCACCTCCTAAAGTAGTTTCATTGACCTAAGTTTGTAGTTTCTAAAATGTAAAATGGAATAAGTTATTGATTTAACATATTCTTAAGAAAGATTATACGGGTCAATAACCATAAATTGAGATCTGTACAATTAAATAAATATAAATTAATTAGTCATCTGTTGGATAAATAATGAACACTTAATTTTCAAATACAGGATTAAAGAACGAGAAATGATGAAAAAAGCATTTAAAAAAGAGAATAATAGATAGGATACCCATCAAGGAGAACTCTGAAATCAATGAATTTAAGGACAAATGAATTCTACAGTGCTACATTTCTGCAAAACAAACATAAAAAATCTGTTCTGTATGTCCAATTTAACATCCCCAGCAAAAGAAAAAACTGATTCCAAGCCATTCAATCCTCCCCATGAATCGTCTATGTTATCAAGAAGCTGTTATAATATATACAAAGGGGGAAAAAGAAAAGAAAAATGTAAACAAAGCCTCTCTTTTGAATATAGTAAAAATGTTATTGACAAACTCCTCTATAAAGATTTCTAGATCATACAGCCACACACTGGAACCTCGTCTCTCTGCAGATGCAGCTTTAAGCTGGCCGCCAAAAATTCCTCCAAAGATTTGCTATCCAAGGAAGCCATTTCTGTTCTCACTCAGTTATTTCAGCGTATGATTCTATGTGGTTTCAGGGATATACTCAATAAAATGTAAATCCCAGGTGAATTAACAACTAATCAAATGATTCATATCAGACTTGGAGAGAAGAGAAGTGATACCACACTCTTTAATCGGAATACGGCAGAGAGTCCATGCACAGGTGCACCAGTTTTCTCTGGTATTGTCCATAATATTCTCCAACTGCGATAACGTCCTCGTTTTCGGGGTCCAACCCAGGCAACTTAAGGAGCTTGACCTTCAATGAATGAGAATCCGACTCATCGTCTGAATGTTCTAAATTGGAGACAAAGTCTGCATGTATCTCGCGACAAGCCAAGATGAACATGGCTGCAGTGTCGGGCTGTTGTGACTCGCGAAGTGCTGCCAGTGCCTCTTGCAGCGCACCGGCTGCGACGTATAATATCAGGGCCCTGTAAAGGAGCCATCTCAGAACACCATGTTGCAGGAAAATGTATACTTGGAAACAGAGAAGAAAAACAATTCTACCTCCAGATGTTATGTTCGCTATGAAAGACATGATTGGCCCACCTTAGCAGCACCCTGAAGAACATATAATATAACCAAATAGAGATATCCGTAAGAACAATAGAATAATAATTATGGGGTTCTAGCAAATAATTCTCAGATATCCAACAAAAGTTAACAACATTTTGGTTAATCTAAGAAGATTAATCATTATTGGGTAATGTGGTGCAGCATAGATCACACTAATGAAGACAATAGAAAAGGTTGCAAAAACAAGATGCAAACACAAACAAAAAAGATTAAAAATGGAAATATCTAAGTATAGTAATAAGCAAAAACTACCTAGCATAATCAGATCCTTTCAAATGTGTGGCAGCTAAAGTTGCAGCATCCGTCCAGCATCCAGCATCTTGAAGCTGAAGGAGCAAGGGCATTATAGCAATCCAGCCAAGAACAATCATAAAATTAGCGATATCACCATGATTGAAATATCTACTTAAAAAAAAAGTGTCATGGCACCTACTGAGACCACAAAAAAGAAAAGAACCCTGGAAAGGAACACTTTTCATTTATAAGGTGAAAATTTACCAAGAAAATCAATCTAACAACTCCTCGTACGAGTTACAGAAAACCACCTTGAAGTGATTATAAAGGGAGTATACTTATAAAAATAACCTTGAAGTGATTATAAAGGGAGTGTACTTATAAAAGTAATTGTAAAGACCGCACCCAACGCAAGGTATGAAATCTGACCAGATCAAAAACCTCTTCCCAACTAAAACTTTTATATTTGAAAAGCGCCATCTGATTCTTTCAATCCAAAACTTCCAAATGAAAACTTAAACAAGCCAGAAAGTCTTGGCCTGTTTTTAAAACTCATGATTGCAAATCAGTCTCTCAACATTGTCTCTAACAGAATCTCACCCAAGACACATTGAAGGAGGAGAAGAGGAAAGACACAGCTCGAAGCTGCAGGGGCAATGGAAAAAATAGAGGATCTTGGGTTTCTACTGCTTTTTGGCAAAGTGCACCGAATGGGTGGACACCTTATTTCTACTGCTTTTTGGCAAAGTGCAACGAATGGGTGGACACCTTAATTGTAATCTCTGATGTATTCACCTAGCCAAAGGAAAGAGCCCAAACCAAAAACTATATTCTCCGGGTATCTTGTCTTCCATAAAACTTCCACCAATTCCTTGCTGAGCACAGGATTGGTCTCTATCAACTCCTTGAAGCAAGATTTAACAGAGTAGGACCCGAGTGGCTCTTTGCTCCCAAGAAAGCACAACACTATCTGACAAACTTAGCAACTTGAAGAGTTCAACCCATTAATCCTCTTTCAAGTTTCTTCTAGCCTACCGAAGCTTCCTTATGCACTGCACTATATCAAATAACCTAGACAATCTTTCCTAGATTTAAGCTATACACCCACCAATCATGCCTAAAGGAGGGTCAACAACCATTCACCGTAATTTTGGGGAATCTATTCTCTATGAATTTGATAATATTCCACCAAGGACTTCTCATGCTAGCAAATAAGATTCCAATATCCCAGCAATGAAATAAAACTACTTGTAATGTAACTATACGTGATTAAGTTTGACTATAGGTTGATGAATAGACAAAAATGCAAAACAATAATTGCTAGAAAGCTTAAATTATATAAAACCTAAAAAATTTACCATATATGATATAAATCTAAATTGGAATAGAACTCAATTAAGAAAAAATGCATAAAGAGACCACATCTTGATATATGGAAACCTGAGAACAAGCTTCTTGATATCTTCCTACAGCACAGAGAAGATGAGTTCCAGACAGTGACCGGTCAGTTCTCACCATGTTGGCTGCCACAACCTAACAGCAGAAGGGTGCCTGATCATGATTAATTCTTTAACATCCAAATCCAAGCTATTCAATCAAACATACCTTCACAGCTAGTTCTAGAAGCGATCTTGACACTGCTGAAGAAAGTGCAACAGCACGTAGAGCATTTGCATAGAAGTAAGAGCTCTCCGGAGAAGTGGAAAGCAGTAAACTAACAGCAGCTTCTAAGTTTCCAACGGACACAAGCCTGATCATGAAGACAGAAAGATGAAGGTAATGCAGAAGCTATATTCTTTAGAAGGAATAAAATAAATTGCGCGACGACTTTGAAAAGGTCAACTCAACTGCTATGAATGAGTTCCAAAGGCTGAAACCAATAAGTGGCCTCGTCCATTACTAAGTGGCTATTCCTGACAGCCCCGATTGACTATAAGACTGATGTAGGGGGATAGTTTGGCCAAAACATTGTTCGAGCAAGTTATAGCCAACTTATAGAGCATGCTCTGACATTCAACATATCCAGAGAACATGAATACGAAAGCCATCTAAAGCAGTAATCCCTGCACGAAACCTGGATGCTAGCCAGATTTGAGGATTACCCAATACGTGATGATGATGTAGAAATTTTGTAATATTTAGTTTGAGTTCATTTTAGTTTGTTAGTTGTTAACTGGTTAGTAGTCGGGTTGTTAAATAGCTTGTTAGTTTGTGTGATAATTAGTATTTGGATTAGTGGGTTAAATCCTAAAGTTAATCTATATTATTAGCATACTTCTGAACAATAGTAAGACTCTGTTGAGTAATCTTAGTTATAGACTCTTTTGATGCTAGATAGCATCAAACAATCTTGATATCTAGATTTGAGGGTCATCTAGTAATATTTAGTACTAGTATGGGAACATGCTAAAAGAGGCGTACAGTGTACTTGAGTGTCCATTATAAAGATCTTTATTTTTTCCTTACGTATTTATAAAATTTTAAATCATACTTCTTTTTTCTTTACATAGAATATTATGTGCAAATATATTAACAGTGGAAAAATTGTTCACAAACTAATAGCAATAAATTTACATAAAAAATATTGGATCAGCGGCAGCCAATTGTGCAGTCTGAGTAAGTTTTCACTGCTACGGAAATATAAAAGATAAAACAGTACAAAGTGTAGACAAAGCAGAATGGAATCAAGCTAAACTTACTCATGTATACGGTTTTGAACAACCTCTTCCCCATCCAATTTTTCATGCCAAGGAATGCGTTCACTTGCACTTTCCCACAACTCCTCTTGTTTGAAAGCCATTGCCATAAGTTGGCCTTGACCCTGCAACAACAAAATCCAGATTATCAGCAATGATGGAATAAGGAGAAATTATGAGAAATTACCTAAAACTTATATAACCTTCAAAAGAAAGGAGTACGAGTGTTTGATGATACTTAATTGCAAAATTTATTTGCTAAGTAAGAAGTCTAGCAACGGAATTCGATATTAAAAAAGTAATAATAATAAAAAGATTAAAAAAAACTAGTAAGAGATTTACAAATGCTTCTTTCTTCCCAGTTCTTCGCACTGATTTGCCCTTTGAGGTTATCCTATTCAGCATTGAAGCTTCATCAAGATCCACATTAGATGCAGAGGATTTTCCTCTCTGGGGAGACTTACTGACTAACTTATTCATCAGATGATTGAGAGCACTGGGCAACTGTAGCCAAAAGAGGGCTTCAGACGATTCACCAAAAATTGCAGCAGCAAAGGCAAACCTCAAAGCAGAGCCTTTGCGTACTATCTTCATATATAATTTTGCCCTCGCATCATCAAGTATGCAACCTTAAGCATTGAAACATTTATAATGGATGAGAATAATGAATACCATTGTTCAGAAAGAAGAGATTGAACAGAATACAACCTTCTATACGATAAGGTTCAAGCACCTTGAGAAGCAATTCTGGCACCACAGAGTCACCAACAGGGGGTAAATCAATCATGTGACTCCGAAGGTCACCACCAGATGCAGAAGCTCCAGAAATGAGTTGAGGTCTCTTATTTAACCAGGAGGGCTTTACACCTAACTGCAAGATCATACGTAATGCCTGTAGAGAATAAAATTAACACAAGAGTTCAGCCAAAAAGTATATGTTTGATCCCATATTCCAAAGTCTACATTTAATATGGGGTCTTCAATTTGTACACTCCAATCTACATCTCTATTCCCTAAAAATGCTTCAGACATTGCAAAAACAAGAACCTACTTAAGTGCAATGAAAAATAATTTATTAAAGAAAAAATGGAAATAAATTTCACTTTTCATATTGATATAACAAGAGATTATGAAGAGAAGTAACATGCATGGGATGAGGAGAACAAAGGGGCAAATATTTACCAACGCATGTGGAGTGGGAAGTAACATAGGAGAACATATAGGCATTGGCCGAAATCTTTCCTTAACCGTCTTGGCCCCATAGCCATGTTTTTTTTCGTTACTGCATGAAAAATAAAGGTTACAGAAGCACATACTTGGATAGCATTTAAACCATATACCTCTATAAGATAGAAATCAAGGAAGCATGCTTGCAACACCAAGGCTGCTAAATAACTTTTAGACAGTTTCATATAACAGAGACCTACGGAATTCAGAATTGTTTAATACTTAAGTTGATGGTTTGTTACTTGTGGTGACTGAGCTTTTCTCTTTGCACTGTTTTACATGCTATGCATCAGAAGAATATAGTGACAATTGTCTGGCCCAGAAAAAAAGAAGCCCCCAGAATGCATATGGAATAAGAAATCAGACAGCATGTTGGCAAAATAACTATGTGATTTGGGACTAACTTCTTGCTAGTTTACAATCAACATCCAATATACTTTAGTAGTTCTTTACCTGTCCTCATATCAAGCACGTGAATTTACAATAAGAAGGATGAAAGGGAAAAGAAGGAAAAAAACCTTACAAATACATAACCATTTCAAATATATATCTCCTTTTATTTTTTAACCTCAATATTACATGAGAGACATGGATGCAAATATCAACAACATTTTTTTTTTAATATA